AGGCAGACCTCTCCTGTCTCACCAGCTGCTCCCCTCAGCAATGTATTTCAGTCCATCTGCCTGTTCTGCTCCCCACTCTGTCTCTGGTGAATCCTCTCACCCCTCGCATCTCTGGCCTGTACCCCAGCTCTTGTATGCATAAATAAATAAATCTTTAAAAAAAAAAACAGAACTACATATGATCCAGTAATTTCATGCCCACATATATATATCTGAAGAATATAAAAATACTAATTTGAAAGGATCTATGCTCTCCTATGTTCTCTGCAGCACTATTTACAATAACCAGGATATGGAAATGACCTAAGTGTTCAACACTGGATGATTAGATAAAGAAGATGTGGTATACATACACAATAGAATCCTACGCAGCTATTTCAAAAATGAAATCTTGCTATCTGCATAACATGGATGGAACTGGAGGGGATTATGCTAAGCAAAATGAGTCAGATGGAGGAAAATAAATATCAGATGAACCCACTCACATGTGAAATATAAAAGAACAAAGCAAAGGAACAGACGAAACTAAACCTCTCCTCCCCAAATCCTTAGATTTTGATTGCAGAACTGAGGATGCAAAAGAGGGAGGGTGGGCTGGGAGCAAAAGGTACAAGGGGTTCAGTGACTGTGGTGCAGGATCATTGGAACTTGAGCTTTGGCATGGTGTGGTTAACATACATTTAAAGAGAGTAGACCCGTACTTCTAAAACATATACTGTGTTATAAATAACATCACTTTACCTTAAAAAAAAAAATAACAAAACTAGTGAATTGATTGAAAGTCTGCCAAAGAAGTAGAGGACCAAATTCTCACCTCTTCTATTCCATTCCACTCCCCAACAACACACAGTCAGACAACAGCCAGCACCTGGTAAAGACTAAAAGTTACTCTCCAGTGAAAGTCTCTGGACTCGGGAACACCAGGTAGAGGGGGATGTATGTGGCCAGAACTACAATGGAAAGATAAATCAGTTTACACTGAATTGTGGAATCTCCACACATTCCTCCTGATCAGCATATCCATAATCTTGATCCAGATATACCCTAGATATAAAGAAATTCTTACCCAGCTCCCTTGGAATAGCTACTGAAGCATTATATGTGGAGTGGAGTCCTGAAGACAACCAAGGTGCCCATGGAGGGTAGAGTGGGTAGTAAAATGTTCAATGATACCACTTATGCAAGTTTTGAAAGAACATATGAAACAATATCTCATTCTCAAGAACATATACTAAAAAACAGACACATAAAAGACACATTAGATGGCCACTTATGGGGAAAGTGGTGACACAGTAATAAAAAACTTTCAAGCTGACCGCAGATCTGAGATGTGCAGATCAAAACAGAAGTGTCAAAACAGAGGCAGGGAAGAGCAGAAGAGACTGTGGTGATGGTGCTATGATGGTGGCAGAAATATGGGGACTACACTCGAGGGGAGAAATCAAATACTGTCCCCAAATTAACAACAATGTAAGAAAATATAAAAAATTTTAAAAAGGAGGGTCAACTGATATTTATTTCAGAAAAGTGCTTTTTTTTTAAAAAAAAGTGCAATTCAACACAATAATAAACAAACTCATACAATCATCTCAATTAATGTAGAAAAAGACCTTGATAAAAGTTGACATCCATTCATGACAAAAAGAAAGCACTCTTAGCTAGCCAGGAATAAAAGGAAACCTCTTCTGCCTGATAAAGCTTCTACAACACACTCCAATAACATACTTAATGAATGCAGAAAGCATTCTCATTGGGATTAGTAGAAACACAGGAATGTCTGCTAAGCCAAAGTCAATACTGCACTGGAGGTTCTAGCTGGCATCAGACCAAAGGGAAAAAAGTATGATTAATATTTTAAAGTATAAGGGTAGGAGGGAAAAAACAAAGCTATCATTATTTGCAGGTGACAGAATTATTTACAGAAAATCCAAAAGAACCTGAGTACAAATTACTAGAATTAATCAACAAGTTAAACAAGATGACTAGATAGTGGATTAAAGTACAAAGTAATTTGCATTTCCATACACCAGCAACAAACTGTAAGGAATATAATTCAAAAGAGAGATCATTTGCACAAATGTATATATTTGCCAAAACTCATTGAATTATATACATAAAGTGGGTGCATTTTATTTCACAGAAATTATCTTTAAAAAATTATAGGAAAAAGACACCATTTGCACAGCAACAAGAAATAAACATATAAAAGACATTTTGGGGAAAATTATAAAACTTTACTGAAAACACAAAAGGATATTTAAATAAGAGGAAAGATAAATTATAATCATGGAATGTAAAATTTAACATTGTAAAGATGCCAATTCTCTCCAATTTGATCTTAAGATTCAATGAATCACCAATCAAAATTCTAACAAAGTATTATGAGGGACTCAATAGGCTAATTCTAAAGTTCATATGACAGAGCAAAGGACAGAAAATAGTCAAGACACACCTGAAGAAAATTACTTAATGCCTTATGGCAATTAAGATAGTAAGATACTGGCATAGGGATAGACAAAATTTGATGAACAAAGAAGGCTGAAACCAAACAGTGCATGTTTGGAAACTTCACTGATGACAGTGGTGGCATTGTGGGGGTGTGGGGAAATAATGGGTTATTAAATACATGGCCCTGAGACAAGTAATTATTTGTAAAGAGAGCAGGGCAAGAGAATGAGATATTCTGCATACAGCATACACAAAAATCCATTCCAGATGGATTAAAAACATATGTGCTGGTGAAGTAAATCAGACACAGAAAGGCCAATCATCTCACTCATGTGGAAAACAAATGAATAAACTAAACAGAAATAAACTCTTAATCTATGAGAATAAAGCGGTGCTCCCCAGAAGGGATATGAGTAACTCGGGCAACAGGGGAAGTTGTACCATAGTGGATGAAAAACAGACTTCTGGTGGTGATAATGTAGTCTACACAGATGATGAATTTTGCTGTACACCTGAAACCCACATTATGTTATAAGCTAGGGTTATTTAGGGGGAAAATAGACATGTGAAAAGAACATCTCCAAAACTCAAAAAGAGGGAGGGGGAGGGGAAAGGACTGTGGGGAACCAAAACAATGTTGGTGCAGGAAAGGATTTTTTAAAATAAAAAGTGCCACATAAAAAAACACTAGCCAAAAAGGGAAAATGTTTAACAATTTTAGCCAAAAATGGATTACAGAGAAAATTCTATGGAACATAGTTGGGGGGAAGCCTTTTTTTTCTGGCAAGAAAAAAGCAATGGAAAACTGAAGGAAAAACATCAAAAACCAGACAAGAATGTCACTCTAGTTATAAAGACACCAGCTATGATTTTGCACAATCAGTGGTGTGTGAGGAAGAAGGTCCCGTTACACAGTGAAGAGAAAATCAGCACGAGGACCGTGACACGGAGCTACACAGAATCACAGCACACTGTCCGACTTCATCGTGAATGACATCAATTGTGACTGCTGCTATTCGGTTTTCAACTTTTAGATTTAACCCTTAATAAGTCTGAGAAGACACAGTTAAGGTCACAGGAGAGATCCGAAATATTACCAGCTTTGGCCAGATAAAAGTAATGGCATCGACGAAAAAAGGCAGGAGGCAAAGGAGAAAGGAGACACAAGAAGATACTGACTTCTGTAGCTTACACAGTGGAAGTAAAAAAAGAAGTTCCAATAAATAGAGGCTTAAGAATATATTTTAAATTACAAGAGGTGACCAACTCTACAAACAGGTGATATAATTATGAAAAATTGGGATGGACTGAAACACAGAGTTATAAATGAGGTAGTTTCTTTATATCACAGAAGGAATTCAATAATGTCCAAATCTGGAAAGAAATGATGCTCTAAATATATTAGTTAGAGATATGGAGGGACCCACCACTAGATCTAAAACCCAGACTGAGCCCAATAAAGCATGGGAGCTTGTGCTACCGTTTCATTACATGCTCATATTAGCGATTTTTAATCCATATGCATGTATTATTTTAATTACCTATTGAATAAAAAAAAATCAAGACCCTTAAGAACTCAAATTATAACCAGAAGGTCAGTAAAAGAAAACAGGTGTCTACTCCAACAGAAAACCCTCTAAACACCTGCTAAAAACTAATGATCAGAAAATCTACCAATTCTATCCAGCACAGTACAATCCACACCACTTAATAGTGAAGAAACCAGTTTAGAAGCTAAATCTTTCCTTCATTTTTTTATCCTCCTCCTCACATTTCCTCTTTATTTCTCTACTTTTTCTATTCTCTAACATTCTTATATTTAGCACGACCACTCAAATAGATGTGTGTGTATCTAGTTTTACTTATAATCTTGTATTTCCCATTTTCTCTCAACACAAAAAGAGCAAATTAGACTGATTCCATTTCCAGGTAGTCTAAACTAATCTTTAAAATCTCGATGTGGATTATTATCGTTGAGAAGAAATGCTCTTTACCACTGGTTTAAGAGAAGAACACACCAACAGGACAATCTGACCCTTCAGAGCAGCAGTGCTTCTGTGAACAGCTGCTATGTTATATAGAGCTAGGTTTCCATGTTGATACCTGTGGTGATTTAAAGAGATGAAAGCTCGAAGTCTTGAGTTCATCAAAAGTAAAGACCAGGGCCTCCCTGGTGGCGCAAGGGGTTAAGACAGCACTATGAAGCCATCCACAGCCTCTGTTACACAAGTTCGATCCCCAGCCAGGGAGTTAACCCACATGGCGCAGCAGACCTCTCCTGTCTCACCCGCTGCTCCCCTCAGCAGTGTATTTCAGTAGATCCATCTGTTCTGCTCCACACTCTGTCTCTGGCGAATCCTCTCACTGCCCCATGCCCCCATATCTCTGGTCTGCACCCCTTCTCTTGTATGCATAAATAAATACATCTTTGAAAAAAAAAAAAGTAAAGACCAAAAGCTTAAGTGCCCACGTTAGGTGACATTTGAGTTTGATCCCAAAGACTCCAGCAAGATCTCCATTTCAGTATAACCCATATCCAGGTATATACTTACACTATATTTGCAAGGTCAAGTGGTTTCTCTGGTTGCTCAGGAAAAACAGGATGTGGGGGTTCTCTGGTGGGTACACACCCCAAAGATTTACTAATTGCATGGCTCAGCTTCTTCGCAGGGGATTTCTGTGTCAAAGTAGAAAAGAAAGAAAGATGGAATTAAATTTTCAAATGAACAAAAAAGAATTTCAAAAGAACTTGGTGACAGAGCTAGGAAAGGCAAAAGCCACACTTTGTCATAACCAACATCGTTGGGCCTTGCAGAGAGGAAGTTACAGTGGCCCCAAGGCCCCTTCAGTTCCAAGAGTTGCATTGTGGTCCCTTCATTGCTTCCCATCATTTCTACTGTGCACCCACACTCTCAAGTCCATGTCAACATTCCTTTTGAACACTCCTCTGTGCCCTTTGCATAAATTCCCTCCCTCTTTTGACACTTCTGGGTCATTATTGGTAAGACGTTAGGATTTCTCCATCAGAGTCAGAAATTTTTGCTGGGTTAGAATCTTAAAAGGCTAAAACAATGCTGAGAGCTCATGGCATTTGCATATTAGCAAATAAGCTAAGCCACATCCCACAATGTGCCTATTAAGAGAGTATTTCCAAAATAAGCATGAGGCAGAACATGTGGCCTTAAGGTCTGGCTACATCTACGGACACGAATGCCTCAGACATGCACAGGTCGTCAGCAGCACACCCTGACTCTGGGTTAAGATGTGCTGAAGGTGCAGAGTCAGCCGGTTGCTAACATGTTCTCCAGAAGGCAGAATAGTGGGCAGCGGATCCAAGGTCGATAAGCCAACAGTAAATATGAACAAATGTACACAATATGCCCCAATCCAGTTATGGAGAACATTCACATCTAAAAAGAAAGACATACATCTCATGATTTCACGCATGTGGGGTAGAGAGAAACAAAACAGAGGAACAGACAAGCCCTATAGATGTGACTGCAGAATTGAGGCTACTAGAGGAAAAGGGGGGGTGGGAACAAACGGGGAAGGAAGGGTCCAATGGCCGGGGGTAAAGGAGCATGGGTGCTTCGGGGGTGGATGTGGTGTGGTAACATATGTCTGAGGAGGTGTGAACCCACCCCCTAAAGCATACTGTATTGTCAATCAAAAAAAACTATTGACTGGGGCCTCCCCTGGTGGCGCAGCGCTTGAGCGCTGGGTTGCGAGGCTGCCCGCAGCTTCTGCAGCTTCTGCAGCGCCGGTTCAATCCCTGGCCACCAGTGAGGGTCCCACCACAAAAAAAAAAAATGCACATACTTCACAATATAAAATCCCTATTTAAAGGAGACTACATACTGATTTTATCATCCACCCAATCCCCTTTAAACACTTTCGTCTGAGACTTTTTTCTTGGTAGATGTAACTGCAAAAAGGTGTAGTAGTTCATCCGATTGCCTCTGCAGCATGATACCGTAAGTGCCACAATAACTGGGAAGCAACTTATTGGTAGCTGTGTACTCCTCCATCCATCTCCCCTTAGCTTCCACACGCTGCTTGCATATACTTTAATGCAAAAGAAACAAAACTATGCTTGTTTGTATTAATAAAATTGATATCTTGTTTAGTATAAAGATTAACATCAATTTCTTCAGGAACTTTATGTACTTATGAACTTCATATACAAATCACTATTAGTGAAATCACAGGTACCTCTCCTAACAACATTAAAACAACTATGTGGCTATTAAAATAAAAAATATTTTCCTTTGTTTCAATCAATATTCTATAGAAGTATGCTTGTTATACTTTTAGAAAATACTGCTTTAAGTCAAAGTTTAAGTTCAATTTTAAGTCTCAGAGCATACAAAGGTAAAATCAATATATCAAATCAACTACAAGTAATGTATCAAGAAGGGCTTGTTTGATTTTTCTTGTTCTGTTTTCCTTTTTTGGCAATTACACTCTAAATGGACTATGACAGCGGGTGCCTTTTTTTCCCTCTGAAATGGAAATAAGCTTGAGAACTTAGTGTCAGGCTCCTGGTAGATGCTTTGTACACATACACAGCCTCATGAAGCCTCCAAACAGTCCTACGAATTAGATGTGAACAGTCCCAATTTTATAGTTACGGAAACTAGAATTCATATAATTAGGTCTGTCTTGCTCTATCCAAGATACAATACAGACCCTAGACTGGCAAAATCACTCAAAGAACATCCAGAGATGGAAGAGACAGCTCAAGACAACGGGACATTCTTGCAAAGGATCTGTCAGAAACAGATTGGGGATGCCTAGGACCACGAGGGGGTCAGGAGGGCAGATGGAGGAGTTGGAGTGGGGGAGGATTCGGGTGGGGGTGTGGGAGGTGACTTAGGCTGCAAGCACTGCTGAGCCAGGGCTGAGAATTGTTTTCCTCAGATAATCGTGGACCAGGCACTTAAACACTCTGAACAAGCTTGTTTGAGGTCAGATGACTTATAGTTTAATCAGCCTCAAGCTAATTCCTTGCCCGGTACAATCTTCAGCTCAGGGTACATGCTGACAGGCCCTGACAGCAGGAGCACAACAGCCTAATGGGGACAGCTCAGGACTGGTGCCTGGGAGGCCATTCCTGTCATGTTCACTTCAAATTACCCTTTAAGTACATCATCCTGAGCTCCAAGCCACTGTCTGAGGGGATCCAAGCTCAAAACAAAGGCGCATTAAATCCTCAGACAAGTCAGGGACCTCCTCTATTTTAATATGAAATCATCTACACTCTTACCAGCATCTCTACTCTGATCTTGTAACTTAAAGTTCTATCTTGGCAATCATGCCTCCACCCTATTATTTTACAGTTGATTCTTATTTAATTTACCCATATTTACCAATTCCACTGCACACTATTTCTTCTTGTATCCTGTTTCTTCCTTCTTGCCTCTAATTTTCCCCTCAAGCACATTTTTCATTATTTCTTTCAACAATGACCTATTGGTGGCAAACCCACTGAGGTATTTTAAAATACCTTTATCTTTTCTTTGCTCTTGAATAGATTAGCTAGGTACAGAGTCTAAGGTGATCTTTTTATTCTATTCTTCAAATCTCTTCATTGCCTTTCACAGTTTCCATCTTTCCCTATCTGTGTCCAACTTTCTGCATCCTGAATTTCTTCAGATCTACCTTCCATTTCCTAGTTTTTGCTGTCGCTGTCTCTTAACTCCTTCACTGAGTTCAAACTTACTCTTTTTTATTCCTAGTTGAGTTACATCCTTTTTCACATTGGTTTGTTCTTTTCTTTCTTTTTTTAAAAAAGATTTATTTATTTTTTATACAAGAACCAGGGTACAGGCCAGAGGAATGGGAAGGTGAGAGGATTCACCAGAGACAGAGTGGGGAACAGAACAGGCAGACTGACGAAATACACTGCTGAGGGGAGCAGCGGGCAGACAGAAGAGGTCTGCTGCGCCATGTGGGCATTCTCGCCGGCCGGCAGGGATCGAACCCGCACTGCAAAGGCTGCGGACAGCTTCACAATGCGGCGCTCAACCACCTGCGCCACTGTTCCTTTCTAAAATGTCACTCTTATTAATTTTTACCTCTTTAACTTTTCAAATGTACCATTTAAAGTTCTTGGCAAAGTAAAAGCAGTACTTGTTGTGTTTCTCTCTCACAGATCATATCATAATTGGGTTTGCAATTTCTGACAATGAGTTCACCTTTAGCAGAGATTTTCTGTATGGGAATTTGTAGCTTCTCAGGGCCAGTGAAGTATTTCTAATCTCTCTTTGTTAGGGAGTCAACACGTCTGAAAAAGTCCTAGCCTTTACAAAAATGTCATTCCTACACACTTTGCGTGGACTCAATACAGATTTCCTATGGCATGGGGACACCAAACCTAACCTCTGGCCTAAATCTAGTATCCAGTCAGACAGACCTCTGGGAAACTTTAGGGTTTAATTTCTGACAGACATTTCTCTGACTTTCATTCAAGTTCAGTTCTACAATTCAGTCTTATGTTGCTGTTATACTTAATTAACATGTGTATGTGTCACTCGGAATGGGAGGCCAAAATTAACTTAATCTATCATGTTATTGGAGCCAGCAAATTGGAGAACTTAATAGACCTTGTCGAGATGAATTGTTCTTGTGCCTACAGAATGCTACTTGATCATTCTCCAATTAATTTACTAATTTTTTTAATGTAAGACTTTTACCTCTATATTCTTAAGAGAGGATGACTTACAGCTTTCTTCTCTGGTGCTGGCCTTATCTATTTACAGATGGAGTTATGCTGGCCTAGTGCAATTAGTTGGATGGACACCAATCTTTTCTTGTGTCTGCAATGGTGTGTTCCTGCAGTGGTATGTGTTTCTTATATAACAAGCATATGAAGCTTTCTTTGGGGTCTTTGATTCTCATTCCAATATTTTTATTATAACTGGCTTGTGGCATATTCAGATTTTCTATTTCTCCTTGTACCAAATTTGATAATATCTATTTTCCTAGAAAATTGGACATTTCATTTAGGTTTCCCAATTCATTAGCATAAAGTTGTTTATAGTATTTTCTTATAAAAAAGCAAAACTGTTCTGTAAAATCCCTACTCTCTTATATTAAGTTATTTTTATGTTTCAATCACTTTCATATTCATTTTTATTACTCGTTTCCTGGCTCTTGGCCGTGCAAACTTCCGCAGACGATACTCTTGCAGGCTTAGCCACTAGTGCTGGGCCTCCTGCTGAATCTTTTCTGACTAAGTTGGTGGAACAGTTCCAGGGCAACAGCAGCAGTGACAGCCTCTGACGGGCAGTATAAATGCTTCTTTTCTGCAACTTCTCACTTATTTTATGCTTCCAGCACTTAGAGTCTTAATGATTTCAGGTCAGGAATATTCCTCTTCTTCTTTTAAATCTTGGAAGAGAGTTTATTAATCTAATAACATTTTTATAATTTCTGTGGGTTTGGTACAGAAAGGAGAAGAGGTAGTATGTGTTTGGACACCATCTCGAAAATCAATCCATTTCTTTTTAAAATATCAGCTCTCTGCATCCTCTTTGGCCTCTCTCCTATGGTTTCTTTTTTTTTTTTTTCCTATTACCTTATCCTTTTGTGATATGTATAAGGGATAATTCTCTGCTCTAGTTTTTGCCTCACAAATCTGCTCTTCAGCTATAAAAGCTGTGAATGAGCCCACCA